CCCCCCCCCCCCCCCCCCCCCCATGTCCCAAAGTGTGGCCCCTCTGTTATTGACACCTATTTTAATGCAATACTTCAAGCTGTCCCATTTCACTTGGGGGGGAAATCTGCACGTACCATCTAAGAGCACTTGGGAGTCAAAATGCAGGAGTTTCTTGTCGATCTGTTTCATGTTCTAACGCAATAAAATGCAGTCTGTGTATATGAGGAAGACATCTCATTTAGACAGACGGGATGTTTTAGGAAGGAACTGGAAGAAAATTGAGTGAACGTGATTTATTTTTTTAGATGAAAGGACTGTGTTTCGTCAACAGGACCGTCTTTTGAAACCACCAAGAGACAGCTCATTATTTCAAAATACAATATGGCTATGGGCTAACCTATTTATTGTATAAATGATGACCATTAAAGAACAATGTCCGTCTATGATGTCACTTAGCCGGCTTGTATATTCAGGGGCCCTGCAGCGCGGGAACGGCAGCAAGCAGCCTAGTGGCCCACCAGACCACCTCTATTCATCAACACAAAAGTACTCAGAGGGGTGCTAATTGCATTAGGCGTCCTTCTCCCTTCCTCAGAGAGAGAGAGAGGAAGAGAGAGAGAGAGGGAGGGAGGGAGGATTGGCAAGAAGTGTGGGATGTTTGAGAAGTAGGGGAGGCAGAGTGTGATAGTGTGTGGTGGGAGCTGGCCAAGCCTTCAGGCAGGCGTCCCCTCTGTCACCTCTGCAGCTGCTGGCAACGTCTCCAATCCCCTTCTCACACACACGGGACGCGACAGGCTCGCCTCCCTTAGATCACAACAAACAACATTGTGAATTTACACATGTGGTCTCTCCTGGTAGCTAGCTTACTGGTTGCGTTGTTTGACTTTTGCACTCTCGGCTGTATACCTGCACACGCCTGCAGTATTGTGTCATGTATTTGGCTGTGCTTGGGTGGGTTGTAGTTGGAAAGTCTAAGCCGGCCAAAAAAAAAAGAGGAAATCTCAAAGGAGAGTGCTTTCCTTCTTCAACTAAATTAGATGTTTTCAGAGCCTGCAGCCACAAGAAGGCTTTGTGGCAGAGAATAAATATGTTTCTGGGTGACTTTCACTGGAAGCACATTCACACTAGCCATGCCAAAGTCTGGATGGATGTGATACACGCCCAGAGAACCTGTTGTGTTCATGCCAGCCCCATGTCTTTTACATGTCTTATGGGTGTTTCTAATTAGTAGATTAAAACAGGGTACTTTCTATCTTATCTTATTTTCCCAGTTTGACCATCATGACAATCGACTGTTTGAATCTTCATCACCTGCTTTACTTTTGTTCTTTATGTAGCTGACTGTCAGCTGTCTGAAGATGGAATAGATTTTGGTATTATTTGTAAGTTAGCATGAGCTGCAGTGCTCGAGTACTCTGATGCTGTCTTGAAATAATCTTGGATGTCACACTGTGAAAGCTCATTGAAATTAAGCGTTTAGTGGTAATGGCCACTTAGGTTTTGTACAATCCTTTTTTTCCTCACAATTAGCATCAGAAAATGTGGAAATGTCAGACGGTAAACATTTCAGCACATCCACTAAAGCTGTGTGATGTAGCCAAAATCACAATATAGCATGTTTTCTGGTAATTCAATAACTATATGAAATCTATATGAAATAACCACTCTTGTGTGAATTAAATATGTGACGAATGAAAAAAGTACTGAATATTTTCTCATTTAATTAAGAACTTTACTGCAAAAGAATCAGATCTTCTGAGTAATTTGCTTGAGTTTCTTGTTATCAATTTAGACAACGCACTTGTTACTTACGGTATCTCAATATATGATTTCATTACAATGTGATTAAATCTGAAAGAGGATAATCATGTTGAATTATCTCGCTCAGCCCTAACCTCCACCGGTATTTATAATCCAAGGTAATGATAGGTTTCATCTCACTGTTGCGAGACGATACACTAGTTATGTTGTTATCCACGGTTAAAGGAAGATTGTCGAAGCATTAAAAGCTTGTCTGCTTCCACCAGTAAGACGTAGCCGCAGAAAACTAAGCTGTCAGAGTACGTAAGGAGGTGGGACGCCGCTACGTCAGCATCACACGGACTATTGTATGACATGATAATCAATTGCAGCTATTTGAAAGGCATCTACGGTGTGTGAGAGCTTTATTTTTTCTTAAGTATATCTTGGACAGCAGCAGTGCTGGCCGACTGGAGAAATGAAAAGCTCAATATTGAAGTGATGAAATAAAGCCCAGATGGGGCAGATCTGTGTTTGTCCTTTTAGATTTCATTGAGAATGCAGAAAGTGTTCACAGCTATTCATTTTTTTTAGGTCACAGGCGAAGGGTTGGTTTAAAACAAAGTACTAAAAATATTTGTACTGGCCAAAATAATTGATGTAGGAGTATATCTCTGACCTACTTTGAATGGTACAGAACATATCTTGCTTTTACAATTAGACTTTAAAACCTGCTTACTTGCTTGTACGAGAGCAACGTACCACAGGATATAAATATCCCAAATCTAGTGTCTAGTGTTGCATTTGACCCCAATGTGTTATTTCTACAGCATTTGAAGCTTGTTGGGAACGTTATTCTGCATTATTTTATCAGTGTAGTTGTCTGCGGTGTGAGTTTTGTGTTTTTGATATTACACGTGATGAGAGATTAACAACAACAACAGGAAGGTCTCTCTTCTGGCATAGTGGGGCTCCCCTAGCCTGGCTGAGCGTCGGTGTCACCTCAGCAGCTCTCCACCTTATTTTAATTGCCTCAGAGTTAATTACTCCAGCAAGTGTGAAACAATGTTGTCAGACTTCTCCTGCACAGTCGCGCTTTCGCTCGATCCTCTGCACCCCCGCTGGCCAAATGGAGGCGAATGTGTGTTGTATTGAAAATGGCTGTGAACACTGTGAAGTTATTCCTCCTTGTTTGCTTGGTAGAGCCACTCGGTGCAGGTTCTTGTTGACAGTGACGGTTACATTTTTTTTTGAGGTTACCTGTACGTGTGAAAATACTTTGCGGTCTGCCAGCAATTTGGAAGAAGAGTGTCTTTAAGTGGAACAAAGAAACTTGAGTTAAGATGCATCTATTTATTGCAAGACTGGAAGTAGCTCATTGTTGATGTCTCTCTTCCTAAAGTAGATTTTTTTTATTTTTTTTTTAAATGTGGTATTACTTCTTCCTGGCACCAGGTTTTGGCTCAAGTGTCTTCATACAAAGTCTGTCATCTTTATTTAGCAGCGAGCCCGTCACCAGTGTCCTGTGCCATTGGACATGGTTGACGGTGGCGCGGCGCTTTATTAGCGCCGCGGCCTCTCAGCTGGGCCGATGTGACAGTGAGCGAGGCTGATCTTTTGAGGTCCCCTCTCCTCCCTGCTTGCCTGATTCTCCATGCCACTGGCATCAGCTCCATAGATCACGGCTGTCGCAGCGTGTGTAGGTGCTTGCACCGCTCTGTTAGTCTCATCACTCATTCTCACTCGTCAGCCAGGCTGCTGATCTCGCCCAGACCCCTCTCACTCTGCCATCCCTGTTGTCTCTCTCTCTCTCTCTCTCTCTCTCTCTCTCTCTCTCTCTCTCTCTCGTCCCCTTGCTTTCTCCTTCCACCCGCTCACTCTCTCTTTTGCTTTCTCACACACATTTTTTTAATTAGGCAAAAATCAAAGGCGAAATATGAATATTCATAAGGAAACCGCATTAATATGCACAATTATGCAAATCAGCATGCAATTAAGGCTCGTGTCTCCAGAGAGCCTGGATAGCATTAGTGCATAAGACAGGGAGAAGGGGATGATGGGGGTATTTTGGAGTTTTCTGCTCCACCAGTCTTTTGGCTGTGTTTATTCCTTTGTGCCACACATCGGCCTTTTCTTTACCTAAAACATTGAGGTTCATATTTTGGCTTAATGCATTTTTGTTTTGTGTTACTTCACATGTTTGTATGTGTCAATTGGATTTGAGTGGAATTTAAGTTATCCGCTTGGATTACATTAAGGATGTAAATGGTTAATTTTGTGCTATTCAGTAACCGTAATAAACACTAATGGGTACACTGAGCAGCATATCAAGGTTTTTTTAATTTTTTTAATTTTTCCAGAAATGGTGTAACATTGCATCTTGAATGCGACAGTGTTGTCTTTGATCAATAGTGATGCTTCCCTCTTGGCTCGCACAAGCCCATTGTGGCCACTTAAGGACATTCAATGTGTAGAGTAGGACGTGGTGACAGGTTCCCTTGATAAGACTCCAACATCAGGGCATTTCTACATATCTGCAGTGACGCATAGGATAATGATTATATACTGTCATTTGGGGATTGCTAACATCGTTACATTAATCCAACCTGCCTTTCTTTTATTTATTTTTTTGAGTCTTTCATCTGTACTTCAGACTAACTTGCTGATCTCCCTACCCGTCAGTCTTAACAATATGTCTTCTTGCAGCAATAGACGAGCGCAGCGGCTCTGGGTCTTGGGGCTCAGCAGAACAGAACAGCCCCTCTTTCAGCCAAGGACGGGTAAGATCTAAACACACACTCGCACTCTTGAGTCGCACACAATTTTAAGTTTGGAGATCTAAGCATTAACACCAGATGCCATGATATTGTCACACATTCAGTTAATCAGTCGGCCACACACACACACACACACACACACCCTCTCCCCCTACCAGCACAACAGCTTAGCACCGTTTCATGCCGTGTGCCATGTTTGATTTGAAGTGGTAGTTTTACTCTCTACCTAATAACCTTGGCTCAGGATCCTGCATTGGCAAGCTCTCTGGTAGCCCAGAACCTCTGTGGAAGCCCACCGGTAATTGCAGCTTCACATCCGCTGTAACTGTCTTGGCACAACTCTGTGTAAATACAAGGAACATGGGGTGAAATAAATGCAGCAGGCTTTGATTACCACAAGTTGATAATTAAGAAAGTCGGTTTGAATCCCCCGAGCTGATGCAGATTTGTTTGGCATGGATCCTATTAGTTAGACAGAAAAGCAGAGGGAGGGTGCTCACTAAGAAAGTCACATAGGTGCGCTGACAAGACCACTAAACATTGTTTATCATTTGGGTGTGTTTGTTAGCCTGCCCAATGTTGGAGCCGGCATGATTTAATTACATTTTTCGTTTCTTTAACGTTACTCATGTTGTTATGTGTATATCATTGTTCCCTCAGGGCTATGGTGAAGGACCCCACTACGAGCATGAAGGCTTGTCCTCTCCGTTCATCAGTGCAGGGGTTGCAGGTATGTTGGGGCTATTTTTTTACCAAGTGACTCTTATGTGGTTAAAAAAATAAAACGCTTGATGAATTGTTTCAGCACTTTAACAGAACGAGTGTATAAATTCCCTTCTCTGTGATGGAGGACATGTTGCCTGGTCACACTAAAATAATCATGTTGATAATGGCCGATCCGACTGTTGTGCGTACTTTGTTTTCTGGGTGTTAAAATGTGTATGTGTCTACATGGATGCGCGTGTGTGCCTGTGTTCATTCGTTGAGTGTTGGGGATGTTAGAGCAGTGAAGCAGAAACCTTCCCCAGGGTTTTGTCTGGCAGGCGGCTTTATGCAGCTGAGCGTACTGAAAAAGGGGAGGGCATCCCTGGACTTTTTGTACTGAAACACAATAAAAAAAAAAGGAAGCTACTTTTCATTTGTTTTAGCACACACCATTGCCTCTTAATGTGTCTGGATAAAGCTCATGGTTTCACTCATTAAAGTTCATACAATCTTCACTTTTATCTTGCAGGCAAAAATGAGAGGCCGCCATACCCTCCCTTTGTAAGCCAGGTATGTGAGCATTTTTGCTTATTCCTTGCATCTCCCTGCAAGGTTATATATGCGTGCGTGTGTGAGGAGCTAAATTCATGTAATGCATCATGTAAAGGAAGCTCTGTTTTCTCACTTCTGTTTTCACGTTAAACACTTTGAATTAACTGTCTTCATTTCCTAGAAGAGAAGCGGTTTGTGCTATCCCACGCCCTCGTAAGTAGTTAATTGTAAAACCTTGTTTCTCCATCTTTCTCCATTCTTCTAGCCTGGTTTTCTTCCTGGCGACATAGCGATGCCCAGCCCAGATGCCATGTCCCCCTCTGGCCTGAAATCTGGCTCCCAGTTTTATCCGTCATACCCCAACAACCCAAGGAGAAGGCCGCCTGATGGAGGTATAGGTACGACAACTTGATTTCATTGTTTTTGTATTCAAATTGTTCAAATGTTCTTGTTTTGTCTGACCACTTTTGTCTACATACGACAACTCTTTCCAATACAAAGGTTAATACAGATGAATGCACAGCAACATTCATTCACACTGACAGACATGCACATACACACACTGCCTCACACATGCCTTAGTGTGTTTGGTGCTTTGTGTTCTCCTCTGTTGTTGGATTTAGAGCACAGGAATAAATTGCACCTGAACTGACAGACCATTGTCAGATGTGTCTTTGCTAAGTCCTTATTTGTGTTTCTCTCTCTCGCTCTCTCTCTCTCT